CAAGACTGTTTTGGTTCTTCTGTTGTTCTGTGTGCCTTGCAATTCCATATGAATTTTAGAATCAGCTTGTTCATTTCTGGGGGAAAAAGCAGTTGGAATTTGGATAGGGATTGCATTGAGGGTTTTTTAGAAACAGAGTCTTACTCTGTCACCCAGGCTGCAGTGCAGTGGTGCAATCATAGCTCACAGCAAACTCAAACTCCTGGGTTCAGGCAATCCTCCTGCCTCAGCCTCCTCAGTAGCTGGGACTATAGGCGTGTACCACTACACCTGGTTTTTTGTTTTTAGAGATGGGGTCTTGCTATGTTGTCCAGGCTGGTCTCAAACTCCTATGCTCAAGCAATCCTCCTGCCTCAGCCTCCCAAAGTGCTAGAATTACAGGCATGAGCCACCACACCTGGCCTGTTAATCCTTCAAACACCTGGTGGACTTCACCAATAATGCCATCTGATCCTGGGCTTTTCTTTAGTAGAATTTTTTTTATCACTAACCAAAATATATCAAATTTGGGAAGATTCTAGCCTTTATTTATTACTGAGAATCAGCCATTTTTCTTGAATGATTTCCCCAGGTTGCTACAGGCCTTTGGTTAATTTCCAGATTCTTACTCCCCTGTCTTCACGGATGACACTCCTTAGTTGGGTTTTTTTTTTTTTTCTTTGTTGTTTTTTTGTTTGAGACAGAGTCTCACTCTGTTGCCCAGGCTAGAGTGAGTGCTGTGGCATCAGCCTCGCTCACAGCAACCTCAGACTCCTGGACTCAAGCAATCCTCCTGCCTCAGCCTCCCGAGTAGCTGGGACTACAGGCATGCGCCACCATGCCCGGCTAATTTTTTCTATATATATTAGTTGGCCAATTAATTTCTTTCTATTTATAGTAGAGACGGGGTCTCGCTCTTGCTCAGGCTGGTTTCGAATTCCTGACCTCGAGCAATCCACCCGCCTCGGCCTCCCAGAGAGCTAGGATTACAGGCGTGAGCCACCGCGCCCGCCTACAGTCATATCTTTTATGGAGCCAGCCGAGCGCGAACAAGCTGGAGAAGACTCCGGGAAACTGGGAGCTGTGGGCCATCGCCGCAGCCACCGCCCGAATCACAGAGCCTGGGCCAGGCCCTTCCCAAGGCACATGGCGCCCTGGTCCTTTCCAGAACCAGCAGTCTTTGGGGCGTGAAAACAGAAGCATAAAAAGCTAAAGCAGACTTCGGGAGCGGCCGGCCCAGTGCAGCTGGCTGAGCGCACAGCACCGACCGGCGGCCCAGCGGTTGCAGAGAGCCAGGCCAAGGGCCGCCCCGCGGCTGTGGGGACCAGGGCCATGGAGCGCCGGGGTGGGGATGGCTGACTCTAGGGTGGGATGGGCACGTGATAGCTGCACCCTCAAACGGCAGAGGAGTGCGGCGCCCCTGCCTGGGCTCTGAGGGCCGTTTTCTGGGTGAAGGGGGTCGGACCACCCCGCCCGAAGCCCCAGTGCCAGAGACTTGCTGTCCCTTTCCACAGCGGAGGATTTTCTCCTTTCAAAACATCCTGTGCCAGCGTGGGAAGCACCTCCCACGGTGCCCGGATCACGGGCCAGGGGCGGGGCGGGAGGGCGGCCGTCAGCAGGAAGCATGGCTGGGACCAGTGTTCCCACCCCACGAGCTGCCGGCTGCCTCGCGGGGAGCTGGCGCCCTGCGGCTTTCTCACGGTGCTCTGGGGAGCCAGGCCGCGCCCTGGGAGTGGGGAAGGCTCTCAGAGGATGCAGCCCTGGAGCTAGGACTGTCAACTCAGCAAGCTTTGGACGTGGGAGGGTGACAGCATGTCCCGCCTGGCTCTGATGGGCAGGAAGATGCAATAATGTGCCCCTCAGGCCAGTCTGGGCCTGGCTCTGCCGGCCCCCGGCTCTGCGAGGCCCAGGGAGCTACGCAGGCAGCAGCAGCTACGACCTCGCCCAGGCTCTCAGCCAGGTCCCAGTCCACAAGGCGAACACTGTCCTCTGTAAGAAGAGCCCTTGGGGGCTGGGCGTGGTGGCGCATGCCTGTAGTCCCAGCTCCTCAGGAGGCTGAGGCAGGAGGATCGCTTGAGCCCAGGAGTTTGAGGTTGCTGCGAGCTACAATGACACCACTGCACCCTACCCAGAGCAACAGAGCGAGATTCCTGTCTCCAAAAAAAATGTGTGTGTATTGGGTTTCTATTTCTACAATGACAAATCACCATAAAAGTGGTGGCTTAAACAATACAAATGCATGATGCTCCGCAGGTCCAGGGTTCTAGATGTTTAGTCCCAACCGCATCGTGATTTGTAGGGTCTTAATTTATAAACTTTTAAATTTTAGAAAAATCTTCTAAAAATCTGCTTTGGTCAACCACGTTCTAGTTCTAGGAAATTAGTAAAGAAATGGAAGTCAAAACATATTTTTATAATTGCTTATGTTTGTGTTTCAAATGTAACTCTTTCAACGAGTGCCCCTGGGACACGATCCCACGAACCCTTCCACAGAATCGCATCCGTGGTCAAGGCTGATTCGTGGCTTTTCACCTGATTCTTGGGGCCCCATGGTGGCCTCCAAGGGAAGGAGCCTGCCTACTTCATGCACATCCAAGTCAGCTCTTCCTCTTGCAGCCCCGGGGGCCCAGCCCCACGGGGAGGGGTCTAGGGCACAGAGAGGAGCATCTTCCCTCTTGCTGGGCGGGCGGGAATGCAGCCTGGTTTCCCTTTGGCTCTGAGGAGTCCCTCGGGGGCCAGGCTTGCAGCTGCCCTGCCGTCTGGGAACTATAAGAACTGTGCTCCCCACCTCTACCCCAAGAAGATTCTCTGTGGTCCCAGCAGTGGCGTGTGCCTCCTTCCTTTTCTGCCTGTCCCGGGGACCTGGCATCACTGTGTGGCTTCCTGCTAGGAGCCTGGGTCAGTGGGGCTCCTCCCATCCTATCCACGCCAGCATCCCAGCACATCTACACACCTGCTCAACACTGCCACAGTGGCCACGCTGCTGTGTGCCTCCAATCTTGGTCACCTTGCATGTGTAAGAGGCCCTTAGCACAGTGCTTATGATCTTGGGCTCCCGAGTTCAGTGGGCCTAGGCCTCCGCCCCTGTCCTACTACTCACTATCAAAGCACAACCCTCAACCTCAGAGAGTGCGTCTACCTACACGCAGATGGGGGTGGCAGTACCTACCTCCTAACAGTGCAGTGACTCACCCAACAAAGGTATACTGACTGGGCACCCTGCAGGGCTCCGGGTGCCAGGATCCAGGTGGGCTGCCATAGAGAAAAATAGCAGCTGGAGATAGCGTGGGGTTGCTACCAGGGCCAGCCCAGGCAGGACCTTCAGTGCCCAGCCAGGAGCCTTGGACTCTGTCCTCAGAGCAGTGGGAACCCTGGGAGGGCTTCAGCCAACAGGTGGGGTGGGTTTTGGAGCTGGCTGGAATCCCCTGTGCAGACCACAGCCGCAGTGCTGGGCCTGGGGGGCTGCATAGGTAGCGATTTGCAGAGGTTTTTCAGGCAAGAGAAGAGTCTTGAGCTAAAGTTGTGAGGAGGGAAATTGGGGATGGGTTTGAATCCAGGTGACAGGAGCTGCGGCCGTGGTTCACACTCCGTGAGTGCACATGTGTGTGCTCTGGGGCGTCACGCCGTGGGCGGGGCGGAAGGGGTGGGAGCCAATCTCGGAATTGGGAGACGCAATAAGCTGAAATTTGGAGATGCTGAATTCCATGTGCCCGAGAGACTGCCAGTGAGGAAGTCCGGCAGGCCGAGGGCCAGGCATCCAGAACTAAGGAGAGAGCTTCATGGAAGCAAAAGAGTTGGGAATTCAGGTTTCTGGGTTTTCAGGGGAGAACTGAGAGAGGAGATGGGGTGGGGTTGACGGCTCAGATTCTGTGTCTACTTGGTGTCCCTTCATGGCAGGGCCAATGACATTAACTATATTTTTGTGTTTTCTGCATTCCCGGTGCTGTGGCATTTGGGAGCCTTGCAGACCCAGAAGAGGCTGCCCTGCCAGGCTAGCTAATTCCTGAAGATGACAGCAGCTTGCGTGGGCGCGCCTTCACATGCAACCCCCCAACTGAGAGCTCATGCCCCACGCAGCCCCCGATCTCACACACGAGCCGGTTTTCCCCTGCCCTATGGCATGCCCCAACCAGGTCCCTGGCAGCCACAGACCAGCCTGTGGCCCAGAGCCCACTAGAATTATTCAAACCAGCCCATCCTAGGCTGTCTGCTCCGCACGTCCCCACAGAGGCTCTGGCTCAGGCTCCCCTGGCTCCAGTCCAGGGTGTCTCCCTGTGGCCCTGCACAGTGTGGAGTGGCATGTCTTCGTCTCTTGGGGAACACAAGAAATAAACTCTTTCAGTGGGGTCGTCACTCAGCTGTGTTTCCATTAATCAAATGCTGCTGGGATTCATGTCGCTAAGGGCTGAAGTGTGCAGGGGAGCTGGCCGCGCAGAGATCTGCACTTTCCAGATCGAGCAGTAGGGTCCCACACTTTCCTAAATGGCCCCTTCTCCAGGGAGGCTGTGCACTGGGGGTGACGGACCATTGGGAATCACCCAGCGCTGCATCCCCCAGCTCGGGTGGTTTGGGGGTCCGTGCGGCTAGGGGAGCCCCCTTGACTTCCTTGGGCAGGGCCTGGATGGAGCAGCGGGGCAGCTGGGCTAGGGGTGGGGGCATGGTTCCAGACTCCAGGGCTGGTGGAGCAGCTGCCCAGCACCGTCGCGAAGAAGCTGTGTGTCTGACCCACTGCCTGCCACAGCTGTAGGGGCCAAAGTGACCTCCTCCCTAGGCCCTGCGCCTGGCTGCGGGTGGGGAGGTGGGGCTGCGGGGGCTTCGCTCCGGGCTGCTGGCCTGACCCAGGCACATTCTGTTCTGGCAATTCCTGCCCTGCTTGCTCTGCTGCTGCTGGTCCTCTCGGCCTGAGGGCTGGCGACGCCCCCCGGCGCCCGCACACCTGCTTCCGACTCAGAGGCCCTGAATCAGAGCGCCAAGGTTGTGCCTTCTGCTGGGATGGCAGAGGGGCGGGTGACTGACTGCTACTCTACTCCCTGCACCTGCGGCTTTAAGTCATCAGTAGTATCTTGGAAAGGCATAAAAGGCATGCCTCCATTTTCACCTAGAAGTATGCATTCAGCCGCAGGGCATAACCAGGACCCACAGCTGGAAGCGTGTGCCGAGGGTGGGCTCAGTGGGGGCCCTGGCTGGAGTTGGCCTTGCTGTCCTGGCCGGCCAGGTTCGGGCCCAAGGAGAGGCTGGGCAGCCCGTTTGGAGCCGCAGGTAGGACAGCCTCGGCTGGCTGTGCCATGAATCGGAGCCAGACTCCCACATTCCCTGTTTCTTGAGAAACTCTTCATTTGCCATGTCTGCGACATGATGCTATCCTCACTCTTCTCTCCTGCGTGACATCTCCCAATGCCACGCGTCGCATCCCCACTCCCGTTTCCAGAGACTGCGTCGGCCTGCTGTCTGTCACTCTTCTAGGACACTCCCTCCAACACCAAGGACTCCTTTTTTACAGACAAAAGACTGGGGAACCCACCTACGCCAGTGACACTTTCCGTATCTGCCCATCAGGAAAAACAGTCACCCCACCTGACTCCAAACTTACCCACCTTACTCTGCCTTGCTCCAATCTTATTCCACCAGCGAAAATGCTGACGAGCCACCTAACTTCGGAAAGCCTCGGTTTTCTCTGTGGTATTTCTTGGGGGATCCTGGTCAGTAAGCCTGGCAAGTGAGTCACTTGGAAGCAGTCAGGTGACCTGGGTTGATAAGTGGATGATGTGTTGGCTCTAATAAATCTCTGGATTTATCACTGAGCTTTTAAAAAAAAACCTTTCATGTGCTTTTAAATATTGATTATTAAAAAAAAATCTTACCACTTAAGCCTAGTTTTCCTGCGGACAATTCTGTGCCTTTGGCCTACAGGCCCTCTGGCTGAGCCAGTGGTGGAGACAGCGTGCCCAGAGCCCTCGTGCCTCCAGAGCAGCGGCGGCCAAGAGTCGCAGCTGTGGAATTATTTGTGACTCTGCTAAGGGCGGGCACGTGTCCCTTTTCACTTTATGATCAGCATGTGCTGACGTGCTCAGTTGTATTTGCAATTCACTCTTCTCCCCGTGTTGCTGGAATTGGAAGTAGACACAGAAATGATGGGACGTTTGTTTTCTTTCGGATCCAACAATGAACCTGGGCTCCATCATCAGGCGGGCCTTGGCCCTCTGCAAGACCGGCCTTTCCTGTTTTCGTCCCTCTCAGCTCACGTCCTAGGCAGGCTTTGTGCAGGGAGAAAAATACCCCTGAGGGAAGCTTCCAAGAAGGTTACCAGGTGCACGGGTCAGCCAAGTAGGTGACTCCATGGGATGTGTTTGTCCGGGCCGGGAAGGGAGTGCTCCCCGCCAAATAACTTCACCACCTGAGCTGCGAGGCAGGTCCTGCACACCGCCGGCCCGGCCGGCCGGCCTCGCCCGCGGGAAAGCCCACAGCCCCACGAGACGCTCCCGCCGTCACAGAGGGCTGCCCGCCGAGGTCCTCAGGGCCCCCTTTGGCCTGTGAGTGCGTGTAGAGCTCCTGGCGTGTGGGGGAGCACGTCTGTTTATTAAATACACACTGACATTTTTGCGAGTAAAACAAAAACAACGAAAAGGTGTGAGTGGGAGCTAGAGCAGGGGAAATGGCAGAAGGTCGGCAGTCGCTGGGGCTGGATGCTGGTTGCGTGGGAGCTCGTCACACTCTTCTGGCTGCTTCTGTGTGTATCTGGACTTTCCCAAAACAAAAAGCTTCGGAAAACAATATACAGAATTTGTCTCCATCTGTCTGTGCTGCTATAACCAAATCCCCAAGACTAGGTGATTTATAAACAACAGAAATTCATTTCTCATGGTTCTGGGGGCTGGGAAGTCCCAGATTGAGCGCTGGTGTTTGGTGTCTGGTGAGGGCCCCATGCCGTGTCCTCTGCGGCCAAGGGCGGAAGGGCTCAGAGGGCCTTGCTAGTTCCCTTGAGCCCTTTCGTAAGATCACTAATCCCATTTCAGGACTCTGTCCTTATGACCTCATCACCCCCCAAGTCTCCAAGTATTAATGCTATCACATTGATGATTTCTTTTTTTTTGAGACAGAGTCTCACTCTGTCGCTCAGGCTAGAGTGCCGTGTTGTCAGCCTCGCTCACAGCAACCTCCAACTCCTGGGCTTAGGCGATCCTCCTGCCTCACCCTCCCGAGTAGCTGGGACTACAGGCATGCACCACCATGCCCGGCTAATTTTTTCTATATATATTAGTTGGCCAATTAATTTCTTTCTATTTATAGTAGAGATGGGGTCTCACTCTTGCTCGGGCTGGTGTCGAACTCCTGACCTTGAGCAATCTGCCCACCTTGGCCTCCCAGAGTGCTAGGATTACAGGCGTGAGCCACCGCACCGGGCCTCCCAGCAGACTCTTAAGCCCTAGCTTGGGGCTTTTGTTTTTTTTAATTAAATAAGTCACGCTTATACATGCTCATCAGGAACGTATGAAGTCACAGCAAGTACACAGAGATGCAGACCCTTTCAGATCCTTTTCTACACAAGACACATACATGTATCCTCAACATGTGTTGCTTTATATTTTATGCCAATAGGATCGTACCATCATCCCAGCAACTTATTTTTTTCGCAGATTTGATTTCTGATTATAAACATAATGAAAAATGACAATGCCAGTCCTCTCCTAACACTCCCACCTTCCTGGGGCAACCACCGGTCTACATATGCCTTCCGTGTTTTCCTCTGTATCTGTCTACACAGTACCTTAGTATGTGGGTGCTTCATTATTTAATTGTTCCTCCGTGGAAAGACGTGGACTCTGTCTGTAGTTTCTGCTGTTACCAATAGTGTTGCAGTGAAATGGAAATCACTGAGCCTGCATATTCATTTGTGAGTGTTTTGGCAGGCCGAGTTCCTCCGAGTGCAATTGCTGGGCCAAAGGGCTTGTGCATGTAAAGTTTTAACAGATGTTGCCCCATGGCCTGAGAACGCCCGTTTCCCTGCACTTGCCCAGGCGCTGCATTTAACCTAATCTGTTGGGTGGAAAAGGCATCTTCTTGATACTTAATTGATGTTGCATTGATGACTTGCAACTTTAAGTTTTAAAAAATATTTATTGGCTACAAGCCATCTTCAGGAGAAAATTTTATCTTTTGTCTCTTTTTCTTTCTGTTTGCTGCTCCTCTTTCTTTATTGAGTTATGACAATTCTTTATATGATCTGGGTGTTGACCGTTTACAGCTTCTTTTTTTTTTTCTTTTTTTTTTGAGACAAAGTCTCGTTTGTTGCCCAGGCTGGAGTGAGTGCCGTGGTGTCAGCCTAGCTCACAGCAACCTCAAACTCCTGGGCTCAAGCGATCCTCCCTGCCTCAGCCTCCCGAGTAGCTGGGACTACAGGCATGTGCCACCATGCCCGGCTAATTTTTTCTCTATATATTAGTTGGCCAATTAATTTCTTTCTATTTATAGTAGAGACGGGGGTCTCGCTCTTGCTCAGGCTGGTTTTGAACTCCTGACTTTGAGCAATCCGCCCGCCTCAGCCTCCCAGAGTGCTAGGATGACAGGCGTGAGCCACCGCGCCCGGCCTGTTTACAGCTTCTTAAGTCTGAGAATGCCCCAACTTGGAAATCAGCCCAGGAGGTGCCCCCAGTTCCCTGTCACCCCCAGGCCCTGTGTGTTTTCCTTCAAGGCACACCGCCCACTTTGCTCTTGGCGCATGCCTGAGCCCCCGCCAGCTCCCCTGCTGCAAGGCAACTGCCCTGAGGCTCTCGGGATGGAACCCTGGTCTCTGATTCTGTGCCTGGATCAGAGGTGTTGGCCCGAAAGGACTGTCACTGGTGAGCATCTCATGTCACCTCTGCATAGCACTACAAGCCTCCCCTCTGTTTAGTTTCCAGGTGGCCGCGCAGCAAGAAAAGAGCGGCCATCGGCATGTCGTGAAGACGTGCAGGCGCGGAGTGCAGCTCTTGGGCACGTGGGCATCTCCCCATCCTCAGTGCTTTGAGAGCCCGGGCGACTCACTCCTATGGGACAATGACTCAGGAAGGGATGGGTCATTCCGACGGTTCCCATCACGACGTGCTGTTGGTCCCAGGGTGGGGAGGCCAGGAGCGGGATGGTGCTCCTGGCTGTGCCTTCTCGCCCAGTCACTACTCTCCTACTTGTTAGGGGAGGGGCTGTCTAGGGCGCAGGCCATGGCCGAAGCTTGTTGGCCTGCTCCTGGCCCCTTGCTCCTACTACGTACCCAACATTCCAGCTGGCAGCCCCCATAGGGCCCTGGCCCTCTGGCGGTCCAGGCCACCTGCCCCTGTGCCGGCTGCCCCTTGACCTCACTCTGGCCCCCCACAGCCTCACAGCTAGCTCCCAGGTTGTGCACCCCACAGCTCTGGCCCTAGCTCCTGGGGCCGACAGGCTCGCCTGCCTCCCTCTTCCCTCTCTCCTAGTTTGTTTTGTAGCAGCTTTATTGAGATATGATCCACATATCATGCGATTCACCCACCTGAAATATCCAGTTCATTAGGTTTTAGTATGTTCGCAGGGTTGTGCAACCATCATCACCACCAATTTTAGAGCATTTGCATCACCCCAAAAAGAAATGCTGTTCCTGCTAAGCAGTCAGTCCCATGTCTCCCCAATCCCCCCATTACCAAGGCAACCAGTAATCTAGTTTCTGTCTCTGTGGATTTGCCTTTTCTCGACATTTCATGTATCCACTTTTTTTCTTTTTTTTTTTTTAAAGATAGGGTTTCCCCCGTCACCCAGGCCAGAGTGCAGTGACATCATCGTAGCTCACTGTAGCCTCCAGCTCCTGGGCTTAGGCCATCCTCCCACCTCAGCCTCCCGAGTAGCTGGGACTACAGGTACATGCCATGCCTGATTTGTGTCCACTTCTTTTTAAAGTGGTGGGCACAGGTCGGGCACAGTGGCTCACACCGGTAATCCTAGCACTCTGGGAGGCCAAGGCAGGCAGATTGCTTGAGGTCAGGAGTTCGAAACCAGCCTGAGCAAGAGCGAGACCCTGTCTCTACTATAAATAGAAAGAAAGTAATTGGCCAACTAATATATATAGAAAAAATTAGCCGGGCATGGTGGCACATGCCTGTAGTCCCAGCTACTCAGCTGAGGCAGCAGGACCGCTTGAGCCCAGGAGTTTGAGGTTGCTGTGAGCTAGGCTGATGCCATGGCACTCACTCTGGCCCGGCAACAAAGTGAGACTCTGTCTCAAAAAAATAAATAAATAAATAAAGTGGTGGGCACAGGCTAGGCTGCCGAACATGCAGACTATGAGGTCCAGGCCCTGTGACAGTGTGGCTGGGGTCTGGGAAAGGTTGATCCTGCCCCTGCCTGGGTGGCCACAAGCAGGAGTTCCCCAGGGCTGGACTCTGAGGGCCAGGCATCTGAGACAGGGCACCAAGCCAGCTGAGACCTGAGGAGTCCTCTGCCCACCAGGAGCTTGTGGGAATATCATGGGGATTGGGCAGCAGTGTCTGGTTCAGATGGAAACTGGGGACAGTGAGAACATTCTTGACATTTGGATGCTTAGAAAATACCAAGGAGAATAAGGGAGGAGGAGAGGCCTCCCTTTTAAAAAGCAACTTCAGGCCGGGCGCGGTGGCTCACACCTGTAATCCTAGCACTCTGGGAGGCCGAGGCGGGCAGATTGCTCGAGTTCAGGAGTTCGAAACCAGCCTGAGCAAGAGCGAGACCCCGTCTCTACTATAAATAGAAAGAAATTAATTGGCCAACTAATATATATAGAAAAAATTAGCCGAGCATGGTGGCGCATGCCTGTAGTCCCAGCTACTAGGGAGGCTGAGGCAGCAGGATTGCTTGATCCCAGGAGTTTGAGGTTGCTGTGAGCGAGGCTGACGCCACGGCACTCACTCTAGCCTGGGCAACAAAGTGAGACTCTGTCTGAAAAGAACAAAAACAAAAACCCACAACTTCATTATGAGAAAATACAGATGTACACACAAACAAATAGAGCAGTGGCACCCACCCTTGGCACCCACCACGCCCCAACAGGGCCTCGTGGAAGACACACCCATCTTGTTTGTCCAGCCCCCGCCCACCCCCAGATGAGCTAGAAGCAAACCCTAGACGGCATAGGACGCTACCTGTCGTGCCGCTTCTGTAAGGAAAGGCAGGAGGAGACGAGGTGCCAGAGCTCATGCTCTTCAGGGCCGGCTGGGACGTGTCACAGTCACCACCGCCTCCCCTCCCCCGCCTGCATGACACCATGCGAGGCCAGCGCAGCCCCTGCCACTGCACAGGTGTCCCGTGGTCATTTCCTTCCTGCCGGTCAGGAGCACAGCCACCAGCTTGCAAATTCTGAGGTGTTTTCCCTTTTTCCATTTCCTGTTACTGTTTTGAAACCCTGAGAGGAAGAGAGAGACCTCAGTCCGATAACCGCTCATTTACTATCAGAGTTGGGGCCACCTATTTACAAGGAAGTGTGGCCTTTCATGTACGTAAATCGTGAATATCGATAATTGGAGAAAGCTGAGATTCCAGCAGGACAGAAAGAATCTGGGAGATTTTCACTGTGAGGTTACACACAAGTTGCATTGCCAACGGTGGAAAGAGCTTTCTGTGGGCTATTGCAAGGGTGGTGGAGACACATGCAGACCTCAGCCAGGCAGCGCTGGGGAATGTGCGGAACACCAAGTCCTGTCCTTGTTAACAAGCATGGTGCCGGCTAGAACAACGAGCGTGGCTCCGAATTGACTTGTTAATTTTTTTCTTTACATTTCTAGAGCTTAAAATAAAACATGTCTCAGTTGGCAAAACAAATCAAGGTAAACTATGCTTTAAAAAAAAATCATAAGTTTACTCAACGACAAAAAAACCAGACAACCCAATTCAAAAATGGGCAAAGGACTTAAACAGACATTTCCCCAAAGAAGATATACAAATGGCATGAAGCACATGAAAATCTGCTCCACATTGTTGGTTGTCAGGGAAATGCGAATCAGCCACTAGGAGATAGCGCTTCACACCTATTGGGACCAGACTATCAAGAAAACAACAAGGCCGGGTGCGGTGGCTCACACCTGTAATCCTAGCACCCTGGGAGGCCGAGGCGGGTGGATCGCTCAAGGTCAGGAGTTCGAAAGCAGCCTGAGCAAGAGCGAGACCCCGTCTCTACTAAAAATAGAAAGAAATTAATTGGCCAACTAAGAATATATAGAAAAAATTAGCCGGGCATGGTGGCGCATGCCTGTAGTCCCAGCTACTTGGGAGGCTGAGGCAAGAGGATCACTTGAGCCCAGGAGTTGGAGGTTGCTGTGAGCTAGGCTGACGCCACAGCACTCTAGCCTGGACAACACAGTGAGACTCTGTCGCAAAAAAAAGGGGAACCTGTGTGTATTGCCAGTGGAAATGTCCCATGGTGCAGCCACCGTGCAGAACATTTTGGTGGCTCCTCAAAATGTGAAACGTGGGCTCACCGCCTAGCCCAGCAGCTCCACTCCTGGGCGGGTGAGCACTGGAGAGACTCCACAGCAGGGGCTCAAGCAGACACTTGCACACGGACATTCACAGTAGTGTCATTCACAAGAGCCAAAAGGTGATAACAGCTCAAATGTATGTCGTTGGGTGGATAGACAAGAAAAATGTGGTGTGTACAGACAAGGGCATATGATTCGGCCTCACAAAGGAAGGACTTCACGACACGGAAGAATCTGGAAGATGTAATTAGTGCAATAAGTCAGTCACAAAAAGACAAATATTATAGAAAAAGACAAATATTATAGGAGTCCATTTGTGTATCTACAACAATCAAATCCAGAGAGCCAGAAAGTAGAATAGAAGTTACCTGGGCTGGGGAAAAGGAGGAACGGAAATTACTATTGAATGAATGACAGAGTTTTGGTTTGGAATGATAACAAAGTTCTAGAGATGGACAATGATGAAGGTTGCACAACAACATAAATATACTTATTGCCACTGAACTGTGAGCCTAAAAATGGTTAACATGATCATCTTTGTGTTATGTATACTTTACTGCAATAAAAAAATGCAAAAAAGTAAGAGAATGGAATAAAACTATGCAAACAGGAATCATGAGAATGCTGAAATGACATCTGACAAAGCAGTCTACGGCCACACCACCCTGAACACCCCTGGTCTCGTCTGATCTCGGAAGCTAAGCAGGGTCAGGCCTGGTTAGTGCTTGGATGGGAGACCTCTTACAAAGGAGACATTGGAATAAGGGCTGTTACTAGAGTTTGGGAAGATTACTTCATACTGAGAAAGGTCTGCACAGCAAGATGTGTTATCCTAAAAATGTATGTACCCAATACAGGGTTTCACAACATATGAGGCAAAAACTGACAGAACTAAAAGCTCAAAAGCTCAACATTGTCACTTCTCTCTCAGTAAATGATAAAATAGTTGAGCAAAAACCAGTTGAAGGATACAGATACCTGAAATAGATACTCTATAAAACAACTCAAATGACATACAGAGAATGTTCTGTGACCACACAAAAATCAAATTAGAAATCAATAACAAAGATAGCTGAAAAAAAATCTCTAAATATTTGGAAATTAAACCACACATGTTCAAATAACCCATATATTTAAAAAGAGGTCACAAAGTAAATTAGAAGATATTTTGAATTTAAAACTCTAACCCCGATGGCTTCAGTGGTGAACTCTACTCAACATTTATGAAAGAAATAATGCCAATTCTACACCAAATCTTTCCTAAAATAAAAGAGGAGGGAATACTTCCCAACTCATTGTGTGAGGCCAGTGTTACCTTAATACCAAAACCTAGCAAAGATATTGCAAGAAGAGAAACCTACAGCCCTTATGAGGATAGATGTGAAAATTCTTTGGAAATATTAGCCAACTGAATCCAGCCACATAAACAAGTATGCTAAACCACAGACAAATGAAGCTTATTCCAGGAACACAAGGTCAGTTTAACATTCAAAACTCAATGTAATTCACCATATCAAAGCAATAAAAAAGAAAAACAAACCCCACCATCCACCAATGAAAAGGATAAAACTGATGATACAACAAATGGGTGAATTTCATAGATACTCTGTTGAAAGAAAGAAGCTGGGCAGAAAAAAGTGCATACTGTGTGATTCTGTTTATGGAAAATTCTAGAAAGGACAAATCTCAGAGTGACGGGAAACAGATTAGTGGTTCCCTGTGGCCTGGTGTGACCAGAAAGAGTCACAAGGGAACTTTCTGGGGTCATGGGGAATGTTCTAGGTTTTATTGTGATGGTGATTACTTACACAGGCAAACATATTTGTCTGAATTCACTGAACTGCCCATTGAAAACAAGTGGATTCTGTTGTACGTAAGCTATGCCTCAGTAAAGTTGATTTCTTAAAAATCCTTTCTTATTGAAGCAATACACTGACATATACCTGATAGTCATTCTATGTTTTCTAAAATAATCATAGTTTATATCAAAAAAACAGTGGAGAACTATGGAAAACACAGAATGGTGCATATAGATTGATTGCTACCATTTTAAAAAGATTAACAAGCCGGGCGTGGTGGCTCACGCCTGTAATCCTAGCACTCTGGGAGGCTGAGGCGGGCGGATTGCTCGAGGTCAGGAGTTCGAAACCAGCCTGAGCAAGAGCGAGACCCCGTCTCTACTATAAATAGAAAGAAATTAATTGGCCAACTAATATATATATATACAAAAAAAAAAATTAGCCGGGCATGGTGGCACATGCCTGTAGTGCCAGCTACTCGGGAGGCTGAGGCAGGAGGATCGCTTGAGCCCAGGAGTTTGAGGTTGCTGTGAGCTAGGCTGATGCCACGGCACTCACTCTAGCCTGGTCAACAAGCGAGACTCTGTCTCAAAAAACAAAAAATTAAAAAATAAAAAAAAATAAAAAGATTAACACCTATGCTTATAAGTAAATACATACGGTATTTTTGTAAAGATCCATTGTTACTTACTTTCAGCTTATACTTTTTCGTAGCTTTTGAATTTTTCACCTTATGCATCTGTTTCCTAATAATAACAAAACCTTCTGATCAACAATTGATCACACTAAAAAGGTACAGCTCAACCACGGATTGGCCAATATATTACTTGGAAATATTATTTCTTTTTATTTTATTTTTTTTTTTTGATACAGAGTCTCACTTTGTTGCCCAGGCTAGAGTGAGTGCCATGGCGTCAGCCTAGCTCACAGCAACCTCAAACTCCGGGGCCAAGCGATCCTACTGCCTCAGCCTCCCGAGTAGCTGGGACTACAGGCATGCGCCACCATGCCCGGCTAATTTTTTTGTATATATATATTTTAGTTGGTCAATTAATTTATTTCTATTTTTACTAGAGATGAGGTCTCGGTCAGGCTGGTTTCGAACTCCTGACCTCAAGCAATCTGCCCGCCTCCCAGAGTACTAGGATTACAGACGTGAGCCACCGCGCCTGGCCGGAAATATTAAGGAAACCGAAGTGCCGGCTAGTCCAACCTAGACTACCGTGTTTCCCTGAAAACAAGACCTACCCATAAAACGAGCCCCAGCAGGATGTCTGAGCACGTGCGCAATACAAGCCCCACCCCGAAAATCAGCCCTAGTGCCGGGCGGGGCTGCGCAGCGTCTGCACAGCCCGTGCGTGTCGCCGCGGGGCGGGAAAGAAGGCGAGCAGCCCTTCTCATCCGCCCGTGACAGCTCTGGTGCTCCACAGGAGAGATCGGGCCGATGATTCTAAGGGAAACAGAGTCGCAAGACATCCAGGATGGGATTCGGGATCTGGAGAGTGAGGATGATGTTCCAGAAGAAGACGACTTCACTCTATTTGAATCAATGTAGATGGTTATACCATACTTAAAAAAAATAACACATCCCTGAAAATAAGCCCGAGGGTGTCTTCTTGAGGAAAAATACATATAAGACCCTGTCTCATTTTCGGGGAAACGCGGTCTGAGTCATTCCAGAGAGTCCTCCCACGAGGGGGGTGGAGCCAGGCTCTGGGGCTGGGTGGGGCAGTGCTGTTCTGGCCCTCCCTGCCACAGGCCCCTGTGGCCCCTGCCCTCTGTTTGCTACCTGAGCACAGCAGAAATCCCACGCACTGGAAGATGAGAGCTGAGCATGACGAGCCTCGCTGAGCAGAGCCCCGCGCTGCCCGCCGCTAGGCCTGCGTGCGCCCCTCGTGTGCCCGGCCACCGCACAGTGGCGCCAGCACACGGTCACTCGGTGCAACCCAAATTAGCAATTGGCCAAGAAATGGAATTCTGAGAACGTCAACAAGGAGAACGTGGAACTTATTCTAGTCAAAGGATTGTGAGGAAACGCTGACAGATTCAGAACTGCCTGTCCATGGCATTTTTAAAATCTTGGACTCATTATTTCAAGTAACAGGTTTATAAAGGAAAACCCACAGGACTCCCAAGATTTGCTACTTGCTCAAGCTCACAAACTTCCCTAGAATAATCACTACTCCAAAGGAAGACAATGGATTTATCTACAGTTCTGATTTTCTGACTTTTTAAAAACAAATGTATTGAAATAGAATTCACACGCAATAAAATGCATTCATTTTTAAGTGAGTTGGTTGAGGTAACATCACCGCCATCAAAATACAGAACTTTTCCCTCACCCAGGACGTTTCGTAGGGCCCCAATCTCCATCAGTGCCCTCATTCCCAGCCCCAGGCAAGCACTGATCACATTTCTGTCTCTGGAAATTAGATTTAGTTTGTAGAGTTTCATAGAAATGAAATCATTCACTATATGCTATTTCCCGTCTGCTACCTTTTGCTTAGCACAATGTTTTTCAGCTTTACCTATAACCCCTGTGGTTATATGCACCAAATTGTTTCTTTTTTTTTTCTTTTTCTTTTTCTCCTTTTTTTTTTTGAGACAGGGTCTTACTTTGTCACCCAGGCTGGAGTGCAGTGATGCAATCATAGCTCACTGCAGCCCTGAACTCCTGGGCTCAAGTGATCCTCCTGCCTCAGCCTCCTGATTAGCTGGGACTACAGCCACCATGCTCGGCTGAATTTTTAAAACATGTTTATAGGGACAGGGTCTCTCAGTGTTGTCCAGGCTGGTCTCAAATTCCTGGCTTCAAGGATCCTCCTGCCTTCATCTCTCAAAGTGCTAGGATTACAGGTACATGCCACCACACACAGCTAATTTTTCTATTTTTTGTAGAGACAGGGTCTCATTGTGTGGTCTAGAACTCTTGGGCTCAAGAAACCCTCCTGCCTCAGCCTCCCGAGTAGCTGAGACTATAGGCATGCACCACCATGCCTGGCTAATTTTTTCTATTTTTAGTAGAGATGGGGTCTTGCTCTTGCTCAGGCTGGTCTTGAACTCCCAACCTCAATCGATCCTCCCACTTCGGCCTCCCAGAGTGCTAGGATTACAGGCATGAGCCATCGTGCCTGGCCCATTCTCCGTTTTTAAACAAGAATGAACTCGCTGAAAGGAGTCTGCTTCCATTATTCTCTATGTATATTCCAGAACTTTCTCATCACCCCAAACAGAAACTCCATCCCATTAAATACTAACTCTCATTCCCCTCCCCCAACCCACAGCAACCACCATTCCACATTCATTCTCTATTAGTTTGACGACGCTAGGTACTTCACGCAAGCGGCACCGCACAGTGTCTGTCCTTCCATGTTCAGCTTATTTCGCCAGGTGCAGTGTTCGCAAGTTTTATCTATGTTGCAGCATGTGACAGGATTCCATTTCTTTTTGAGGCTGAATTAATACTCCACTGTGTGTATTACATTTTATTTATCCATTCTTCTATGGGCAGACGCTTGAGTTGCTTCTACCTCTTGGCCACTGTGAAAGCCACTGTCATGGACGTGGTGTGCAAGTGTCCGTGTGGATCCCTGTGCTCGGTGCGCGCTAAGTGTGGTGCGCACACTTAGGAGTGGGATTGCTGGGTCATAATGATAATTCTATGTTTAAACTTTTGAGAAGCTATCAAGCCATTTTCCACTGCAGCTACACCATTTTATATGCCCACAAGCAAGGCACAAACGTTCTAATTTCTCTAAAATCTGGCATAGTAAACAACAATGAAGTGTTTGGGTTTAAACTATATAGGTATGTATATGTACACACAAGTGTCTGTGTGCTTGTGTGTCTTAAAATGGGTGCCGGGGACTAGTTGTTCAGTTTGGGACACTGCAGGCTCTCTGTGCCTCAGTTTCCCCACTCTAAAATGGAGGCATGATAGTATTATCATTCTTAGGGTTGCTGTGAAGTTTCATGAACAAATATGTGTACATGATTTACAATGGACGCAGCAAACGGGAATGCTATGACGATGAGTGCTAGCTGGTGCTGTCCCTGTCATCACTGTTGCTGAAAATCAGTGTGCCTGACATCTGCACACCTCGTCATCCACGCCCCTCACCTGGGTCTCCTTGGGCTCCTTAGGGAAGCGGTCCCCAACCTTTTTTGCACCAGGGACCAGTTTCACGGAAGACGGCTTTCCACGATGGTTGCAGGGGATGTTTGGGGACAATTCAAGAGCGAAGCGTCTGCTGCACAGTCAGACCGCTCTGCTGAGGACAATCTGTGTCTGAGCCGCTCCCCAGCGCCAGCGTCACCACCTCTGTCACCAGGCACTGGGCGCTCTGAAGAAGTGCCGAACCTGGATTCCTCACGTGTGCGACTGACAGCAGGGCCACGCTGCTGTGAGAATCTAATGTCCCCCACTGATGGGGAGCGGCCGCAAATACAGTTGAAGCCTCCCTCGGTAACCCGCTGCTCACCTCCTGCTGTGCGGCCGGGTCCTAACAGGCCACCAACCAGCATCAGGGTGTGGCCCGCGGCTCGGGGTCCGCAGCGGGCTGGGCCTGCGCCAGACAAGCCTGCGGAGATGAGCTCAGACAGACCGTGTTTGTCCGAAAATGAGACAGGGTCTTATATGTATTTTTCCTCAAGAAGACACCCTCGGGCTTATTTTCAGGGATGTGTTATTTTTTTTAAGTATGGTATAACCATCTACATTGATTCAAATAGAGTGAAGTCGTCTTCTTCTGGAACATCATCCTCACTCTCCAGACCCCGAATCCCATCCTGGATGTCTTGCGACTCTGTTTCCCTTAGAATCATCGGCCCGATCTCTCCTGTGGAGCACCAGAGCTGTCACGGGCGGATGAGAAGGGCTGCTCGCCTTCTTTCCCGCCCCGCGGCGACACGCACGGGCTGTGCAGACGCTGCGCAGCCCCGCCCGGCACTAGGGCTGATTTTCGGGGTGGGGCTTGTATTGCGCACGTGCTCAGACATCCTGCTGGGGCTCGTTTTATGGGTAGGTCTTGTTTTTGGGGAAACACGGCATGTGCGCTGTGGACGGGCGGAAGGCAGGAGGGGCCTTGCAGGGCAGAGGAGCGATGTCCTTGAGGCTGCGAGGGGCAGTCCCTGTCCCTTACAGAGCACGGGGTGAGGCTCCCGGAGGCTGAGTGTCTCATGCAGCCACACAGCGGTGGTGCTGGCGCTGCCAGGGCTTGGCGTCCCCTGACGCCACGTGCTTTGAGAGGTGCAGCAGGCGTAGGGAAAAGACCCGCGGCGACCCGCTGCGCTGACAGCACTGCTGCCGGGTCTGTGACGCTCGCACCTGGCGCTCCTCGTGACTGTTCGCGGTTCAGTTCTGTGGTCCCGAGACGCGTGTCCTTCCCGGGTCCCGCAGAGCAGATCCAGCCCAGCACGGGCTCCACACCTTGCCTCGTGCCAGGTGCATGTCTTCATGGCTGCTCCTTCTGCCTTGTTCAAAGAGAAGCTGTGTGGCTCACTCACAGAAGGTGGAAAAAAGGCCCTCGAACTGTAACTTCCACGTCCAGAAGAGTGAAGGAGAGATTTTCATGTGAAGATAGGTGTGTTGAGCTGGGGGCGGGGGCGCAGGCCTGTAGCCCCAGCTACCTGGGAGGCTGAGGCAGGAGGATCCCTTGATCCCAGGACTTGGAGGCTGCAGTGAACTAGGCTGATGCCACTGCACCCTAGCGTGGGTGACGGAGTGAGAGAAAGAAAGAGAGAGAAAGAAAGGACAGAAAGAAAAAGAAAGAGAAAGAAAGAAAGAAAAGGAAAGAGAAAGACCCTGGTAAACCATCTGCTTTTCAACAACAAAAAAAAAGAAAGAAAGAAAGAGAAAGAGAGGCCGGGCATGGTGGCTCACGCCTGTAATCCTAGCACTCTGGGAGGCCGAGGTGGGCCGATTGCTCGAGGTCGGGAGTTCAAAACCAACCTGAGCGAGACCTGTCTCTACTAAAAATAGAAAGAAATTAATTGACCAACTAAAAATATATATACAAAAAATAAGCCGGGCATGGTGGCGCATGCGTGTAGTCTCAGCTACTCAGGAGGCTGAGGCAGGAGGATCACTTGAGCCCAGGAGATTGAGGTTGCTGTGAGCTAGGCTGACGCCACGGCACTCACTCTAGCCTGGGCAACAAAGTGAGACTCTGTCTCAAAAAAAAGAAAGAAAGAAAGAGAAAGAGAGAGAGAAACCAAGCCAGCAGGCAGGAAAGAAAGAAAAAGAGAGAGAGAGAAAGAAAGAAAGAGAAAATAAGAAGAAAGAAAGAGAAAGAGAGAGAAAGCAGGCAGGAAAGGAAGAAAGAAGAAAGAAGAAAGAAAGAAAGAAAGAAAGAAAGAAAGAAAGAAAGAAAGAAAGAAAGAAAGAAAGAAAGAGAAGAAAGGGAAGGAAGGGAAGGAAGGAAGGAAGGAAGGAAGGAAGGAAGGAAGGAAGGAAGGAAGGAAGGAAGGAAGGAAGGAAGGAAGGAAGGAAGGAAGGAGAGAAAGAAAAGATATATGTGTGTGTTGAGTTGTGGGTGTGGGGGTCCTCCCACAGCTCTTTGAGCCTGATCTCCGGGCCGGGGCTGGGCAGCCCGCCACGCAGGGCTTTGCTCTTGCCCTCGTGGGAGCTGGCGGGCCACTTCCTGGCTCTTTCATGTCATTATTGTCTGTGAAGTTTGGATAAGTACTGCCCGCTGGCATTAGGTAGTTTTTCTAAAACTTGTTTTTTAATTATGAACAGTTGATGACAACAATGTTTGAAAAACTAAAAAAGAATATTTCCACCCAGTGGGATACTTCACTTAGTAGTGTGGGTTCCAGCTCTATGGGAGGGAGGGCAGGTGTATACACGCGTAACGAGTGAGATGTGCACCGTCGGGGGGAAGGTCACGCTTGAAGTTCAGATTTGTGGGGGGAGGGGGCATAAGGGCATTATTTAAAAGCTTAAAATTTGTATCCCCATAATGTGCTGAAATAATAAAAAAAGAATCTTGCGCAGACGCCCGCCAGTCTCACATAAGAATTGCTTTCATTCCTGCAGACTTTCTTCTAGTCTTTTCTCATGTTGACACATATTTACATTGTAGGAATCAGCATTCGGGGACAACTTAGGTTCTTTCTGCTCAGCCTTGTGCATAAACTTTCGAGTCACATTATTTATTTATTTATTTATTTATTTGAGACAGAGTCTCACTTTTGTTGCCCAGGCTAGAGTGAGTGCCGTGGTGTCAGCCTAGCTCACAGCAACCTCAAACTCCTGGGCTCAAGCATTCCTGCTGCCTCAGCCTCCCAAGTAGCTGGGACTACAGGCATGCGCCACCATGCCCAGCTAATTTTTTGTATATATATTTTTAGTTGGTCAATTAATTTCTTTCTATTTTTAGTAGAGACGGGTCTCGCTCAGGCTGGTTTCGAACTCCCGAACTCAAGCAATCCGCCCGCCTTGGCCTTCCAGAATGCTAGAATTACAGGCGTGAGCCACCGCGCCCGGCCACATTATTTATTTTTAATAGCTGTCTGGTAGGTAGTCTGTCAAGTTAATATACCATCATTTACATAGACATTCCTCTATCGTTGGTATTTAATTTTACCCCATTTTTCACTATCATGAAATTTATTTAACTATTCTTGGTTTTAAGCAGTTTGTAAGAAATGTGGGTTTAGGTTTCACTCATTAAGATTAGATTTAAAATTAGCCCTGGGCTCAATCACATTCAAATGACTAAAACGATCATATGGACATCTATTTTGTATAATGAAAAATTCATTTGTCATAAATTTTCTTTCAAACCTTTTTCAAGTGGTTCATGCACTGCAGACAGGGCTGTCACCCTCCTCCCCCTTCTTTCAGACTTCTAGGGACAGCCACCAGGGAGAACGCCCCAGTGCAGGCGCTCCGGAGCGGCTCCTTCCGCAGGGGCAGCGCTCAGGGCCGGGCAGCGGCTCTTTGGGCGGCGTCTGCCCAGGTGCTCTGCTGGCCTGGCCTGGTGTGGACTATTCCAAGGTCAAGGAACCAGCAGTGGGAGGAGTTAACCCTACTAGGTGCGTGTTCTACCCTAAGCAACGGGAAACCTGGGCAAATGCATGAATCAGCCGTTTCCGGGCATTGAGCAAAAGGCGGCACAGAGCTCTGCTCCCCGAGGACAGGGAAATAGGATTGGAAGGTGCCACGGTGTTCCGGCTTTCTGCTGGGGGCACTGCGGGGACTGTGTGCACTGGCAGGGGCTGCAGAGCGGGGGCTCAGGGCCTGCTGCAACTTGTGGGCAGAGTCCTGGAGGGAAGGGGCACTGCAGAGAAAGGGCTCCAGAAACCCTCATGGGCGCCCCTGCGTGCTGGGGGCTGCTGAGCTGTCCCGAGTGCAGTGTGAGGCACCATGGCTGAGGGCGACTGCCCAGCAGTGGAAAGGTGCTCTCCCAGTCGCAGTGGGCGGCTCTCACTGAGCCCCAGGCATGCCCTAGAGTCCCCCAAAGGGTCCCACCTTAGCACTGGGGCAAACGGGCCCTAGAGTGAGGGTTCGTTAGACCCTCCCCAACAAGGCTTAAAAAGGGATCAAACTAATCTGCAAGTGACTCAAATGCTGCCCAGCCAGGCTTCCAAGAACGAAAACTGTAGATGAAGATCTTTTGTGATCACCGATGTGAAAATCCTCAACAAAATGTCACCAGATCTAACTCAGCCACGTGTAAAAAGGATTATATGTTGCAATCGGGTAGAGTTTATCCCAGAAGCGAAAGGTCGGCTCCACATTTGAAAATCAATCTGCACAGTTCTTCCTATCAACAGATTTAAGAGGGAAACTTTTATGATCATCTGAACAGATCCAGAAACAGCATTTAACACCTCTTGACACCATGTGTGACAGACATGCAGGGAGGCGGGATTTAGGGGGAATTTTCTTAGCTGGATGAAAGCATGTACGCACCCCTGCACCCAGCATCGTGCTCAATGGTGACAGACTGTGCACCTGTCCTCTGAGGTCTGGAGACCTCGTCACTCCTACTCACCATAGTGCTAGGGGTTCCAGCAAGTGCCAAGGGTGGAAAGGAGATGAAAGGCACACAGACCAGAGAGGAAGAAACAAGCCATCTTTATGCACGGGTGACATCACTTTCTATGTAGAAAACCCAACGGAATCTACACAAAAGCTGCTAAAACTCACAAGTGAATTTAGCTATTTAGTAACAAGAAACCACTGGAAATAAGTAACATTTGGCCATGTGGCCATTTGGCCGAGTGCGGTGGTGGCTCATGCTTGTAATCCCAGAATTTTGGGAAGCCCAGGCGGGGATCGCTTGAGGCCAGCAGTTTGTGACCAGCCTGGGAAATATAGTGAGACCCTGTGTCTACAAAACATAGAAACATTAGCTGGGCACGGTAGTATGTACCTGTAGCCCCAGCTACTCTGGAGGCTGAGGCAGGAGATCACTTGAGCCTGTGAGTTTGAGGTTGCTGTGAGCTAGGCTGACGCCACAGCACTCTAGTGTGGGCAACAGAGTGAGATCCTGTCTGAAAGAAAGGAAGAAAGGCCACAGTGTGGAGTTCCTTTGAGGTGCCAAATGCTATTCCAAAGGCTTCACAAATACCAAATTGCTTTGCTTACTCAACTCTTTCAAGGACAAGCTATCATCCCCATTTTAAAGACTGGGAAAGGGAGGCTGAGTTCGTGCCACCGGCGACTGGTGACCCTGGGATCCAAGCCTTTGCCCTCGGGGCCCACCCTAAGGCTCGCTGGGTGTGTTCCCGGGGAGTAGTGACTGGGGAGGCCCCAGAGGGTTTGCACGTCCTGCCTGCTTCTCACGACAGTCCATGCAAGGTGCACAGAGAGGCCGAGGTGCTCAGGTCACGCAGCAGGCACAGGCAGGTCTGAGGCTTGGCACAGGCATTGGCCCGGCCCACCGTGCTGCCGGCAGCTGGCAGGGACTGGTGTGTCGCAGGAGGGCCGACCCTCCAAGGCTCAGGCCTGTCTCCCCCACTCCTTGCTGTCTCGCCACTGCTAAGACAGGCGCCCGGGCGTCTCTCCTGCAGAGCGGCCCTCGGAGACCAGCCCCCGGTGCTGGGTCTGTGCCTCCCGCACGCTTTGGGGACCACGGCTAGCAGCAAGATCCAGCCGCTGCCTCCCTGGGCAGGCTCTGAACTGGCTATGTCCGGTGGAGAAAAGAGAGGCTGGAGGAGACGACAGGTTTGAGTTTGAAAGGGAAAAAAAAAGCTTGATTCCAAGGTGTGGCGACACCTCGATCCAAAATGACTCACTCTCACAGGTATCTCCAGATTATTCTGGACGGCGGAAACCTCTTCCAAATTAATGGTCCTCAAATGTGTGCCAAAGGCCGGTGTGTGTTTTCCTTTCTGCTTATGAAGAGCCAACCTCGTCATGTCAAAGTCACCTGACATTTCTGGGCTTCTGTACCTCCTGTGACTTCCTCTGAATAAGAGGAAATGTGGTTGCCAGTTATGTTTAATTTACTTTAAACAAATCAAAGCACAGATGTCTACTTCCTGCCTGTGTAACGCTCGGCCGCAGGAGACTTCAAAGGGCAGCGCCCCGCGCCTGGCCCCTCGCCTGGCCCCTCGCTCTGTCGCGCTGCGCAGCCCCGCATGCTTTGTGCAGGAGCAGGCTGGGGGCTGGCTTAGACCTTCCTCTGTGAGGAGCTTCTCACGGACTTTGGATTTGCCCTGTGCTAGTTAGTAGATTAAATTTAGATTTTCTTTGAATATATATTTATATAAAGACGCGGGCTTTATTTTTTCCTGTTTTCTTTAGCACTGCTTAGCTTGTTCTCTGAAATGTTTGTCCCACATGGGAGGAGGTGCTGGGAGGACATCTCTCTGTCCCTTGGCCTAAGCCAGCAGGTTGCTGTGGAGGGCAGTGGTAGGAAGGGAGAAAAAGACTCAAGTAAAACCCAAATATGTGGCCAGGCACGGTGGCTCACGCCTGTAATCCTAGCTCTCTGGGAGGCCGAGGTGGGCAGATTGCTCGAGGTCAGGAGTTCGAAACCAGCCTGAGCAATAGCGAGACCCCGTCTCTACTAAAAATAGAAAGAAATTAATTGGCCAACTAATATACATAGAAAAAATTAGGCGGGCATGGTGGCGCATGCCTGTAGTCCCAGCTACTCGGGAGGCTGAGGCAGGAGGATCGCTTGAGCCCAGGAGTGTGAGGTTGCTGTGAGGTAGGCTGACGCCATGGCACTCACTCTAGCCTGGACAACACAGCGAGACTCTGTCTCAAAAAAAAAAAAAAAGAAAAGAAAAGAAACAGAAACAGTCCCCCAAGGCGCAGCTGCAGCTCCTACCCACCCTTCCTGACCCGGGCCGTGACATCCGGTCCCACCATCCGTGGCGCTTGCTGGCAGGAGCGCCAGATGCCGGCACCCAGGCATGCAGAATGGTCACGTGCTCGCAGCCACCACACGGCGCTCTGCTGCGGGCACCTGAGAAACGGAGGGGCTGACCAGGCGAGACAGCCGGGGCCGGGAGGAGGCTGGACGCTGGGCAGTGCCCGGGCTCGGGGTGCATACACTGTGCCACTGGGCAGGATGTGGCCTGGAGGAAGAGTCCAGCAGGGCAGCGTCACCGGCTGGGAGGGGCCACCTGCCGACAGCACCTGGCCTTGCAGGTGTGGCAGCCGCCTCTCAGGAGCAGGGGCTGGAGTGAGGGGCTGCTGTCCGCCCCGCCCCGTGTGAGTCAGAGAGGCCGTGACCGCCCGCGGGCGAAGGCTGCCTCCTCCCCGCAGGGATCGCGCCGCCGCCCTGGTGAGGGCTGGTGGTGTCCGCGTCCCAGGACGGGGAGGGGTGAGGGCCTCGTGGTCCCCAGCGCCCCCAGCAGCGTGGGCAGGCCTGCCCCTCGTCTCTGCTGGCGGGCGGTGTGTCGGAAGGGGGCGGCGGCCACTGGGGCTCTCTAATCTCTTGCCCATCTCTGTCCAGCTTTTATGAGAGCTCCGTCCCCTGGTCTCACTTCTTTGGACGTCCTGACATGGCTGAACAGAATAAACCAAGCGTGAAGTTACTTGTTTCCTGGCTTAGGGAGCAAAAAATCCTCATTTGACCTTGGAACTGTTCCAGGACACTATTTTTTCTTCCCCTTCAAGGTAACTTTTCCTTCTTTTATAAAACACTCTAGCCTGGGCAACAAAGTGAGACTCTGTCTCAAAAAAAATAATAATAATAATAAAAATGGTGGTAAAATACGTAACATTTGGCAGTTTAACCACTGTGAGGTGTGCAGGTCAGTGGTGACAAGCACCTGGGAGTGGCTGCGTGGCCGCCGGCACCCCCTGCCCACAGAGCCTCTCGTCTTCCCAGACCGGACTCTGCCCCGCCAGGCTGCAGCCCCCACTCCCAGGCCCAGCCCGAGGCTGCCGCCCTCACGGTCACTCAGGAGGTAGGGTTCAGTTCAGGGCCCTCCTCCCAGGGCACCACCTCTGAGGGTGGCATGGACCCACGGGGCTTACCAGCCCCTGGCTCCTTGTGCAGTGGGACACTCAGGGCAGGGACCACCCATCCCCCAGCCTGGGGTGCAGCCCTGTCCGGGGATCTGTGGTTGTCCCTGGTGACATGGATCACACGCCTGTGTGTGGGGCGCTGACTCAAGGCCCACCGCATGCCGTTCTCGCCATTGTCCACGCCTCGCATCTGTGTGTACCGAATGGATGCAGCGGCGAGCTGGCTGGTCTCGGCCAGGCCCTTGCCTTGGGTGGAGGTGAGGAAGGGGCTCCCCCAGGCAGGGCGCTGGGCTCAGGCTTCATTTGACAGGCTCACGTTGAAGATACTTCAAGTTCCACTCCAGGCCTCCTCGATGAAGAGAGTATCACAATAAAGCGAGTCCAGGAACGTTCGGCTTCCCAGTGCATACAACAGCTGCATTTACACTCTGTGTAGTCCAGTAAGTATGCAACGGCATCACATTAAAAAAAACAATGAGCATGGCTTAATTAAGAAATACTTTATTGCTAAAAAAATGCTAATAATTGGCCAGGCACGGTGGCTCACACCTATAATCCTAGCACTCTGGGAGGCCGAGGCAGGAGGAACGCTTGAGGTCAGGAGTCTGAGACCATCCTGAGCAAGAGCGAGACCCCATCTCTACAAAAAATAGAAAAATTAGCCAAGTGTGGTGGTATGTGCCTATAGGTCTAGCTACTTGGGAGGCTGAGGCAGGAGGATCGCTTGAACCCAGGAGTTTGAGGTTGCTGTGAGCTATGATGATGCCACTGCACTCTAGCCTGGGAGACAAAGTAAGACCCTGTCTCAAACAAACAAATAAAATATCGCTAACAGTCATCTGAGCCTTGAGGTCTTGCTTCAGTGCTGCTGACTACTCAGGAGGTGATTGCTGAAGCTTGGGCGGCACTTACAAAATGTCCATCCTAACTGGTAAGACCTGGAAGTGGACAGCACCCTCCGATCCATGGCTGCAGAGTGGGTGCTGTGTTAGCAGGCATGAAAACAGCATTCATCTCCTTGTACGCCAACAGAACTCTTGGGTGACCAGGGGCGTGGTCAATGGGCAGTAATCTTTTCAAAGGAATCTTTTTTCTAGCAATAGGTCTCAACACTGGGCTTAAGATATTCAGTGAATCATGCTGTAAACAGCTGTGCTGACATCTAGGCTTTGTTGTTCCGTTTCTAGAGGGGATTTAGCGTAATTCTGAAGGGCGCTAGGACTTTCAGAATGGCAAACGAGCACTGGCTTCCACGGAAGCCCCCAGCTGCACTGGCCCCCGAGAGAGCCAGCCTGTCCTTTGAAGCTTGGGAGCCAGGCACTGACTTCTCCTCTCTAGCTATGGAAGTCCGAGATGGCGTCGTCTTCCAATAGAAGCTGTTTTTCTGCATTGGTTTAGCGCAGCCAACTCCAGCACTGATCTTAGCTGGATCTTCTGGATAACTGCTGCAGCTTCTGCGTCAGCACCTGCGGCTTCACTTTGCACTTCTGTAGAGACAGCTTCTTTCCTTAAACCTCATGACCGACCTCTGCCAGCTTCCAACTTTTCTTCTGCAGCTTCCTCACCTCTCTCAGCCTCCACAGAACTGAAGAGTTAGGGCCTTGCTCTAGGTTAGCGTTTGGATTAAGGGAATGTTGTGGCTGGTTGGATCTTCTGTCCAGACCATTCACGCTTTCTCCGTATCAGCAATAGGCTGTTTCGCTTTCTTATCATTTGTGTGTTCACTGGGGTGGGCACTTTTCATTTCCTTAAGGAACTTCTTTATTCACAACTTGGCTGTTTGGTGCAGGAGACCTGGCTTTTGGCCTATCTCAGCTTTGGACACACCTTCTGTGCTAAACCTAACCATTTCTGGCTTTTGATTTAAAGTGAGAGAGGCAGGCCCAGGCGGGCCTCAAAAAATTAAAAATAAAAAAAGTGAGAGAGACAGGCAACTCTTTCTTTCACTTGAACACTTAGAGGCCATGGTAGGTTATTTTATTTATTTATTTTTTTGAGACAGAGTCTCACTTTGTTGCCCAGGCTAGAGTGAGTACCGTGGCGTCAGCCTAGCTCACAGTAACCTCAAACTCCGGGGCTCAAGCAATCCTCCTGCCTCAGCCTCCCGAGTAGCTGGGACTACAGGCATGCGCCACCATGCCCGGCTAATTTTTTCTATATATATTAGTTGGCCAATTAATTTCTTTCTATTTATAGTAGAGACGGGGTCTCGCTCTTGCTCAGGCTGGTTTAGAACTCCTGACCTTGAGCAATCCGCCCTCCTCAGCCTCCCAGAGTGCTAGGATTACAGGCGTGAGCCACCACGCCCGGCCCGTGGTAGGTTATTGATTGGCCTCATTATAACACTGCTGTGTCTCAGGGAGCAGAAGGCCCGAGAGAGGGCCAGGGCCAGGAGCGGCTGGTCAATGGCAGCTGGAACACACACGACATTTATCAGTTAGGTTCTCTGTCTTACACCAGTGTGGTTCACAGCACCTCAAAACAACAGCAAGAGTAACATCAAAGATCACTGATCACAGAGCACCACAACAGATATAATAATAATGAAGAAGTTTCAAATATTGCTAGAATTTCCAAAATGTGACAGAGACAGGAAGTAAGCACGTGCTATTGGAAAAATGGCACCGATAGACTTGCTTGATGCAGGGTTGCCACAAACCTTCAATTCATTAAAAAAAAAAAAAAGCCAGGCGCGGTGGCTCACGCCTGTAATCCTAGCACTCTGGGAGGCCAAGGTGGGTGGATTGCACCAGGTCAGGAGTTCGAAACCAGCCTCAGCAAGAGCGAGACCCCGTCTCTACTATAAACAGAAAGAAATTAATTGGCCAACTAATATGTATAGAAAAAATTAGCCAGGCATGGTGGCACATGCCTGTAGTGCCAGCTACTTGGGAGGCTGAGGCAGGAGGATCCCCTGAGCCCAGGAGTTTGAGGTTGCTGTGAGCTAGGCTGACGCCACAGCACTCACTCTAGCCTGGGCAATAAAGCAAGACTCTGTCTCAAAAAAAAAAAAGATTATCTGCCAAGCGCAGTAACACAAAGTATAACATTAAGGAGACACAGGTGCCCTGTCTTCTATTGTGTACCGATGTCCACAACGACCCGGGAGGTGCGTGGACATTTCATTCCCATTTTGTGGCCGAGAAAACAAGCACAGAGAAGCTAGATCTAAGCACGTGTTTCTAGATCCAGTAAGAGAGCAGAGACTCTGACACACGCAGCACTGAGCGTGCTGTCGGGGCTGGGTCCCGCTGCCTGTGCACCCTCGCCACGGGGCTGTGTGTGCCTGGGCCATTTCCGGTTAGTTTTCTAGTGAATTGGTTCCCGTGTGTTTTGAGTTAAACCATGCGAGCAGCTTTGGGGAGCACGGAGCTCTGCGGAAGGTCCCCAGCCCCAGTCGACTCCTCAGAGCCAGGGCGTCTGCGCTGGGCGCGAGCCGGCCTGCAATGTGGCTTTGACCCTCTGACCTCACTGCCTCTCTGTCGACCCCCTGCTTCCTGTGCGGCTGGTGTCACTGTGGTTCGCATGTTGCCCTTGGAGGATCCCTGAAGGGAGGGATGGCGGGGGGGGGGGACAGGGGCCGCCTTGACCCGTGCCCAGAGCAGGGTTGCTGGCTTTGGCGGTGGGCCGGACTCCAACCCTGCCCAGCCCAGCGTCTCAGGGGCCCAAAATGGTTGTTTATTACTAAATGGTTGGGGGAAAATGAATGGATTTCATGGCACACAAAAACGAGATGAAACTCCAGCTCTAACCATCTATAAATAAAGCTTTATTGGAGCACGGTGACGCCCACTCCTTTCCAGACCATTCGGGGCTGCTCTCAAGACCATGGCAAGGTCGAGTCGCTGCGATGGAGATGGTGTGGCCTGCAGAGCCCAAAATATTTTCCATCCAGCCCTTTCCCGAAGGTCTGCCAAGCCGGGGCCTGCGCCCTCCTCCTGCGGTGACAGGCATCCAGGCTAGCAGCTGCATTTCTTTTTTTTGAGACAGAGTCTCACTTGTTGTCCAGGCTAGAGTGAGTGCCGTGGCGTCAGCCTAGCTCACAGCAACCTCAAACTCCTGGGCTCAGGGGATCCTCCTGCCTCAGCCTCCGAGTAGCTGGGACTACAGGCATGCGCCGCCTCCATGCCCGGCTAATTTTTTCTATATATATTAGTTGGCCAATTAATTTCTTTCTATTTATAGTAGAGATGGGGTCTCGCTCTTGCTCTGGCTGGTATTGAACTCCTGACCTTGAGCAATCCGCCCGCCTGGGCCTCCCAGGGTGCTGGGTGACAGGCGTGAGCCACCGCGCCCGGCCTAGCAGGTGGATTTCACAGGGCCGTTCCCGCCGCTGGCGCTCAGTGTGGAAGAGGCGGTGCTGGAAGCGGGCTGCGTGTTGCCCGAGAGGGCAGCCGTCTGCGTGCCAGGGACTGTCCACACCTGTAGCTTCTGGGGACCTCGCAGGGCCGCCTGTACCGGCGTCGAGAGGACAGGGCCTGCGTCGGGCCACTGAGGGGAGGGCAGCCTCCGCCCTGTGTGCAGGGGACGCTCTGCGCAGGGGATGGACGGGGGAGGCCCCTCCTTGTGCCGCCAGAGTGGCCCCAAGAGACCCGTTGCCCTTGGCCTGCGTGTGCTGACAGTCACACGCGTGACCACGGCACCGGCCTCTGCACAGTGCCGCCTCTCCCAGCGAGGCAGTTCCGGGTTTGCTCTGGGCAGTGACCCCTCAAGGTGACAGGAGGAGCTGAGACGCCCCAACAGTGGGGGGAAGCAGGTCCAGGGATGGCCCATGGGGGCGTCCCAGTCTCTGTGGGCCACAGCTGGCGTTTCCTGATGCGGAAGGCCCAGGGCAGCACGGGAGAGAGGCAGGGGTGCGGACGAGGGGAATTGCAAAGACCCCTGGCCGCCCCCCAGCCCTGGGCACTTTTCCATTTAGCTGCAGTAAAACACACACGACTCGACACCGGCCATCGTAATTGTGGAGCACGTAGTTTGACAGCGTTAAGTATATTCACGTCGTTGTGCAACAGATCTCCAAAACTCCTTTCATCGTGCAGGACAGAAAAACTCTATTCTCGTTAGATATAACTTCCCTTGCCCCTCCTCCCCCAGTCCCTGGCTCCCCCATTCTGCCTTCTGCCTCTGTGGATTTGGCTGCTCCAGAAACCGCATGGAGTTGGGGTCGCACCGCCCGGGTCCCTTCGCGTCTGGCTGGTCTCGCGGAGCATAATGCCTCCGGGGCTCGCGACGCTGCAGCATGTGTCAGCACTCCCTTCTTCCAAGGCCGAGTCGTGTTCCGAGGGACGGACATGCCATGTTTTGCCTGTCCACTCATGCTTTGACGGACGCCTGGGTCGCTTTTACCTCTTGACAATTGTGAATGACGCTGCTGTGAACGTGGAGGTACAGACACCTGCTCGAGGCCCTGTCATCGGTTCTTTGTGGTATACACCCAGCAGTGGCATTGCTGGTTCACACGATATTTCTGTGTCTAGTTTTGTTTTTTTGGTTTTTTTTGAGATAGCGTCTCACTCTGTTGCCTGGGCTAGAGTGAGTGCCGTGGCGTCAGCCTAGCTCACAGCAACCTCCAACTCCTGGGCTCAAGCGATCCTCCTGCCTCAGCCTCCCGAGTAGCTGGGACTACAGGCATGCGCCACCATGCCTAGCTAATTTTTTCTATATATTTTTAGTTGTCAGATAATTTCTTTGTATTTTTAGTAGAGACGGGGTCTCGCTCTTGCTCAGGCTGGTTTCGAACTCCTGACCTTGAGTGATCTTCCCTCCTCGGCCTCCCAGAGTGCTGGGATGACAGGCGTGAGCCACCGTGCAGGCCTGTGCCTAGTGGTTTGAGGAGCTGCTGTGCTGTCCCCGCCTGCCGCGCTGCTCTGCAGCTCCGCCAGCAGCGCACATGGTCCCAGAGCCGCTGCGTCCTCGCCAGCACACGGTGCCGTCTGTTTCGGGGCCGTAGCCATCCCAGCGGGTGTGAGGTGGCTCTGCTTTGTTTCTGAATGAGGCACGATTTTCACGCCATGAAACACACTGTTCTTATTTCCCATGAGAGGAATCTGGACAGACGAAACCCTCATGAAACTCACATTCCATTGAGGGAGAACATTCCCGGAGGTCCAGAAAGACCCTCCTTCCTTCCCCGTCCGGCATCAGATCAGCACAGCAGAGCTGCGGTGAGGACCGGCCGGGCTGGGACGACCACGCCGGCCTCCCGGTGTGCCTGGCTGCCCACAGCGGGGACCCGGGGGGAGGGGACCGGGCGGCTCTCTCCCCCTCGGAAGGAGGTGTCGCGGCGGGAGCCGGGAGGGCCTGGTTGGAAGGCGGGGGTTCCTCTCAGCACCGGGCTCCCGGCCGCCCTGGAGCCCTGCTGAGTCGGCCTTTGGAGGCCTGGCGCAGGGTGCACAGCCTCCGCCCGGTGACAGCAGAGTGATGTCAGGCCAGGTGCTTCCTGGAGGCTGGGCGTGCAGCCCGCTGTCTGGCAGCGCTGACGGAAGGTTCCGGAAGGGAGGGCAGGACCACAAGCCACCCGTGCGTCAGCGCCGTGTGCAGCCTCCCACCCCACCCCCATCGAGAAGACCGAACTCCTATTCTGAGAGTCCTGCCCTCCCTCCGCAGCCCCGCTCAGCCCCGCTGCCACGGGCGGCGCTCTTCGCAGTCGACGCCAGGGAGAGTCCCGGCCTCGCCGGGCAGCCGAGCCCGCTTCACGCTGCCAGCCTGCCGCAGGTTCCCGAAGAGCTGCCCCTCCGAGTCCCGGCTGGAGCCACGGAGGGGCCTGTCCCTGGGCTCCGTCTGTTCCTTTGCCAGAGCTTTGCTTTTCCTTTAACCGCCAGCCAGTCGTCATTGCTGCCAGGCGTCCGGGTGTGGAAGCCAGCGGGGCGGATGGTGGGGAGGTGCTCGGGAGGACAGCACCGCCCATAAGCGCCTGCACCTGCCCCAGTGCGGGGAAGGGGCGGCTCTCAGGCTGGGGCACCAGCGTGGCCCTTCTGGGCCGTTGCACCTGCAGGGCAGGTGGGATTTGGCCAGTGGCAGGCACTGAGGCAGGAAGTCTGGGTCTGAGGGTGCGGGCTCCATGGGGACGTCCGTGAAGGGCCATGCCACGCAGACTGCTGCCGGCGGCCAAGGAGAGAGCCCGTGTGGACAGTGGCATGGCCAGCCCCTGGGAGCAGTGACACAGCCCAGAACCAGATCATCTCTTCCGGCCTCCGTGGCTGGGATTCCAGAGGCTTTGGTGTCTTGGGCAGGAAGAGATAGAGGTTTCTATTTCAATTCTCTCCCCTCAAATCAATTTCTTTTTCTTTTTTTTGGAGACAGAGTCTCACTTTGTTGCCCAGCCTAGAGTGAGTGTCATGACATCAGCCTAGCTCACAGCAACCTCGGTCTCCTGGGCTCAAGCGATCCTCCTGCCTCAGCCTCCCGAGTAGCTGGAACTACAGGCATGCGCCACCATGCCCGGCTAATTTTTTCTACATGTATTAGCTGGCCGATTAATTTCTTTCTATTTATAGTAGAGACGGGATCTCGCTCTTGCTCAGGCTGGTTTCGAACTCCTGACCTTGAGCAATCCGCCTCAGCCTCCCAGAGTGCTAAGATTACAGGCGTGAGCCACCGCGCCCGGCCTCAAATCAACTTCTCTAACCCCGCTTTTGACGATCTGGTTTGGCTCTGCGGCTCCTTTTCTCCCAATATGCCAGGTCAGACTGGAGCCTGGCCCTGCTGGGGCTGAGGGTCACCGCTCCTGTCACGCCAGAGCTGCGAGGCGTCGGTGGGTCTTGCTGCTCAGCTTTGCCCTGCGGCGCGTGGGCTGCGCGCTCTCAGGGCCACGCCACCCTCTCCTCCCTGCCCCCACGGTGTCCCTTCTGTGCCTGGCACCTCCAGCCCCCAGCGGGCGGCTGGCACTCACTTCCTGCCCCCCTCGGAGATCTGGATGGAGCATGAAGCAAGGTCAGCACACAGGAGGGGCCGGGATGCAGGAGACAAACCTGATGTCGGAGCTCTTTTTTAAATCTTGGGCATCCTTTTGTTTGTTTGCTGCAGAAATGTTTAATCTGGGTGGAACACGCGTAACATAAAATGTCAGGCATGCATTTTTAAGTGTGCGGTGCCGCAGTGTTAAGTGCATTCCTGTTGTCCTTCGGCCCAATCTCAGAACTTTCCATTTGGGGTGGATGTGAGGCACCCTTTCTAAAAAACAAAAGGGAGGGAGAGGAAATAAACTGAGCAATGTCCTCTTTGAAAATAAGTTCTTTCTCCTCCGTGGTCCCTTCCTCCCGTCCCCCTCACGTGCAGTGGGGTGTCACGCCCTGTGGCCTCCGTGTGCCGGGGACGGCCCCTGACTGGCACTCACTGGGCAGTGTTTTTGTTTGTTTTGGGTTTTTTGACATCAAACAGAATTTTATTTTTTGCTCTTCTAGGCATTTCATGTAAGAGTAACATATGTAGTAAAAGCACGACAAGGCCTCTGAAAACATGGCCAGTTCTATTGGTTAGGATATTTCTTGTCATGGAAGAGCAGTATCCTGCCCACAGAATCACATTATCACACACAGACACCCATCGCAGTCTCTGTACCGTACACAGGACCACAGCACATGTCTGCGCACAGGGCTACGTTCTGCAACAAACTTGTTCTGGTAATAATATTCAGGCCGGGCGCGGTGGCTCACGCCTGTAATCCTAGCACTCTGGGAGGCCGAGGCGGGCGGATTGCTCGAGGTCAGGAGTTCGAAACCAGCCTAAGCAAGAGTGAGACCCTGTCTCTACTATAAATAGAAAGAAATTATTGTTGCTGTGAGCTAGGCTGACACCACGGCACTCACTCTAGCCTGGGCAACAGAGTGAGACTCTGTCTCAAAAAATAATAATAATAATAATAGTATTCAGAAGGCACCACATGAGGCACAGGTGACAATGACATTACAAGGCCAGATGGCCAAACCTTTCCCATCCAAGAGCCGCTTTGGGGTGACACCCCAAGACGCAGGCACGCAGGGGAGCCATTTGCGAAGCCAGTCGGAAATCCCCTCTGAGACCCCAAAACACTACCCAGGATAGGGCTTGTTCAGGTGCTGGTCCCCCCAGTCTGCCTGCGTCGGTGAGTCCCTGCCTCCCTGGCACTGCCGCCACACCTTGGCTCTCACTTTGCATCCCCGTGAGCCGCATGGTCAGACGCCGAGATCTCTGCTCACCATCCTATCAGCACTTTCCTCCAGTGCTTTTCTGCCATGTCCATAAACAAGAAAGAGGGAGAAATGCAGTAAAGCAGTTTGTTTTTATTTTTAGTGGCAACATCCTTTCTTCAAGTGACCCTTTCCTGGTGTTGCTGTCATGGGAGGAACAAGCCAAGGTTCTCTAGTTGAGCCAGCCCGGGCACCTTCCCTGCGCCCCCACCCCCGCAAGCCCACACGCCCAGAGGCTCCTGTTCTCACCCACGGCACCCAGTTTGCAAACCCTTGCCTTGGCGTCCAACCCTGCCATGTGCCCCTGCAACACAGGCTTTGCTGCTGCCCCTTGAGGTGAGCTCAGGCAGCAAGTCCAGAGATAGACCACAAGTGGGGGTGACTCTGCTTAGGGTGCGGAGGCGGGATTTGTCAGACAGGCACCAGGAAGGCTGGGGATTGCCTGTCTGCTGCAGAGGAAGAAAGTAGAAGTCTTCCAGGATAAAATGGTGGAGGGGCGCACAGACTTGCTTCCCTGATATCCAGTACAATGAAAAACTAGTAAAATAAACCTTCCAGGCCGGGCGCGGTGGCTCACGCCTGTCACCCTAGCACTCTGGGAGGCCCAGGCAGGCAGATTGCTCAAGGTCAGGAGTTCAACACCAGCCTGAGCAAGAGCAAGACCCTGCCTCTACTAAAAATAGAAAGAAATTAATTGACCAACTAATATATATAGAAAAAATTAGCTGGGCATGGTGGCGCATGCCTGTAGTCCCAGCTACTCGGGAGGCTGAGGCAGCAGGATCGCTTGAGCCCAGGGGTTGGAGGTTGCTGTGAGCTAGGCTGACGCCACGGCACTCACTCTAGCCTGGGCAACAAAGTGAGACTCTGTCTCAAAAAAAAAAAAAAAAAAATGAATGAAAGAAACACGATATTGTGATAGAGTCCAGGGCCCAGAACCCGCTGAGGTGACAGGATCATAAGTCCTGAATTTGGTGTGAGCATTCTGTGTGTATGTTTGTACTTCTGATAACCTAGGCTTCTTCCTCTCAATGATATATACCACTGTATACATAGCACACGAGAGATACAATTGACCTTTGACCATGGGAATTAGGGGTGGAGACCCCCCCCAGAGCAGTTGAAAATTTGAGTATAACTTTTCTCCCTTTATTTTTTTTTTTATTTTGAAACAGAGCTCCGTCACCCAGGTAGAGTGCATCATTATAGCTCACTGCAACCTCCAACTCCTGGAATCAAGCGATCCTCCTGCCTCGGCCTCCTGAGTAGCTGGGACTGCAGGCATGCGCCACCATGCCCGGCTGATTTTTCTATTTTTAGTAGAGATGAGGTCTCGCTCTTGCTCAGGCTGGTCTCGAACTCCTGACCTCAAGTGATCCTCCTGCCTCGGCCTCCCAGAGTGCTAGGATTACAGGCATGAGCCACTGTGACCAGCCCGAGTGTAACTTTTGACTCCCCAAAAGCCTAATTACACATAGCCTCACCAATAACATAAACAGTCGATTTATACATGTTTTGTATGTTACATGTATTATATACTGTGTTCTTACAATAAAGTAAACTAGAGGAAAAAACAGAAGGAAGAGAATAATATTCATTATTCACGAAGTGGGAGTGGATCACCATAAATGTCTTGCTCATCATCATCTCACTCTTCCTCCCGAGTAGCTGAGGAGGAAGGGGAAGAGGAGGGTTGGTTTGGCCATCTCAGGTGTGATGGAGGCGGAAAAAAACCTGAGTGGACCCGCATTGTTCAATGGTCAACTATATATATATAATCTTTAAGATTTTTTTAACTTAAAAAATTTTTTTTACTTTTTAAAATTTTTATTTTTTTACTTAAAAAATTTTTTTTACTTTTTTTATTATTATTATTTTTTTTTACTGGTCAGGTGAAGCAGTGGGAGTGGAGAAGGAACAAAGGAATCTGTAACTGGTTGTGATCAATTAGCTGTAATATATCTGTATCTTTATCTTTGTGTATGTACTTATCTCTTTCCCTACCTATCCATATATGTATTTATGTAAACATGCTTCTATCCATCTGACTATCCACCTTCCTATCCATGTATGTACCTATCTATTCATGTACGTGTATAGGTACCTGTCTATTCATGTATGTATGTACCACCTACTATCCATTTGTCTATGTACACTATATCCACTACCTGTCTATGTACCTGGCTGTCCATGTACTCATGCATGCATCTATCCATGTATGTGTGTGTGTGCATTGTCTAGCACCTATGTACATATGCCTGCATTTCCCTGTGCATGTAAGTGTCCTTCTCCATCTCTCTGCACTTCCTCTCCTCGCCCACACGTTCACTGCGACACACATCCCTAGTTCTTCTACAGTCCCAGGGCTGCCGGATGTGGCGCTCCCAGGGAATGCCAGGGCAGTGCCAGCCCTGGGCTGGGCCACTGCGTCCACTCCACTGACGGGAGAGGAGGGGGAGGCGGGCTCCAGATTTCTGCTGCTGCAGCCCAGCTGCTGAACACTCCCGTGCAGGCACAGGGACTCCAGGGACACATGTTGGAGTGTGGGCTTCCACATCCCCGTGCGGACGCCCTCAGCCTGCTAGTTCCCGCCACACCTCTTTGCCCTGAGGCCGCTCCGGGTCACCTCCCACCGGCAGGCATGGGAGCTGCCTTTTCATGTGTCTGTGGTCCACCCAGTTTCCAGTGTGTGAATCTCCAGTTCGTATTTCCCCCCCTTTTTCAATAGGCCTTTTCCCTCACTAATCTGTAAGAATTCTGTGAATATCTGGCTCCCAATGCTCGGTTGGTTCTGTGCTCTGCGGAGACTTTTCTCCCAGTCTGTAGACCACCTTTTCACTGTTTTGCAGTGTTGTCTTTGACGACCGATCTGCTTTGTGCTTTAGGTGTTTTGATTAAGAAGTTATATTCCACAACACCCAAAGCCGTAAAGAGAGCCTTCTGTATTTTCTTCTGGAGGTTGTAAGGTGTTATCTTCAGGTCTTTAAGGGTAGGGTGTGAGAGGTAGGGATTCAGTTCTGTTTTCTTTTTCCACATGGGCATGAACTGAGAGTCCCTCCCTTCCCTGCAGACTGCAACACCACCATGTCCATGTTTCCCTGGGTCTGGTCCTGGGGCTTTTGGTCTCTCCTGCACTGCGTGGCCTCCAGGGGGTCCAGCCTCCCGCTGCCTCTCCCTCAGGACACGCTCAGCTGTCCCGGGCTCCTGGCCCTCCCAGCATGTGTTTCAGAATCAGCCTGTGTAATTCCACAGAAAAGCTTACAGAGGCCTTGACAGCAGTTGCTTTCATCTCGGAGTGATCTCTGCTGGCTGGCCGTGATGATAATATTGAGTCTTGCTACTTTTTAATGTTATTAGGGTCTTCATATTTTTTTCTTTTCTTTTTTTTTTATTTTTGAGACAGAGTCTCACTTTGTTGCCCAGGCTACAGTGAGTGCCGTGGTGTCAGCCTAGCTCACAGCAACCTCAAACTCCTGGGCTCAAGCGATCCTCCTGCCTCAGCCTCCCGAGTAGCTGGGACTACAGGCATGCGCCATCATGCCCGGCTAATTTTTTTTTTCTATATATATTAGTTGGCCAATTAATTTCTTTCTATTTTTAGTAGAGACGTCTCGCTCTTGCTCAGGCTGGTTTCGAACTCCTGACCTCGAGTAATCCTCCCACCTTGGCCTCCCAGAGTGCTAGGATTACAGGCGTGAGCCACCACGCCCAGCCGAGATAGGACCTTTAAACAGGTAATGAATGTGTTTGAAATGAAGTCATCAGGGTGGGCCCTAATCCGATAGGGCCTGTGAGAGAAGGTGAGAGAAGGTGAGGACACAGACAGGCACAGAGGGCAGGGAAGGCCCTATGAGGTCACAGGGAGAAGACGGCCGTCGACAAGCCAACAAGAAAGACCTCAGAGACATGACCCTGCTGACACACTGATCCCGGACTTCCGGCCTCTAGAGCCAGGAGACAATAAACGTCTGCCGTGTGGGCCCCGCAGCCTGTGGGGCTTTGTGAAGGCTGCCCTAGGAGACTAATAAACCTCCCGTCCCACACTTCCCTCTCCCAGTATGGCCGCGTGAATCGCTCTGAACTCTGGCAGCAGTATGTCACTGTCAGCGCCAGTGCCGAGCTCTCCAGAGACGCCGGGGAACACTGGCAGGTGGGCGTGAGCCCTGGGCCAGCATCCGGCCCTGAATGGGTATGTTCCTTATTGAAATGCCACTTGTAGCCCTCGACTTCCCAGCGCTCTTGGCAACAACCCAACTTTATGTTCCAAAGAGGAAAAGGTGGATTGATTTAAAGACTCGGACTGTGTGAGGCGTTACCTTGATTTATGTAGACAATAGTACTAAATAGTTGCATAACCATGGCTTGCCGTTCACCTAGGTGTGTCTTGAAGCCTCATAAAACCAGCAAGTTCGCGTCCCGGCGATGACATGGGTTTGCTCCAGCCCTTCTTAAGAAGCGTGTTATGTTGTTCCAAGTGGACCTTGCCTTGGTGTGGGGTTGTGTTAAGTGAGTCCAAAAAGTGACTGCGTCTGTTTCCCCTAGGGAAATTCTTGTCTATTATGTTAGCTCAAAACATCTCTGGAACACAATTACTAATCAGGAATGAAAATCAGGCACAGCCGGCGGATCTGATGTGGCCCCGGCGCCTGGCCGCTGAGGGGCAAGCTCTTTCCGTGACTCCAGGCCAGGCAGAGGAGCCTCTGCGAGGCTGGGAGGAAGCCCAGCTTGAGGCCGTTCCTGTTTTGTCTCCCTGGAATTCAGAGACATTGTGCTGCTTCCCCCACTTGAGAGGAGAGGCCTGGAAGCAGGTTTCACAGCCTGCACCGTGCAGCTCTCCCAAGGAAACCTGCTCAAAAGAATGATTTCATGAGAGGGGAACTGAAATCTGCTTTTCTGCACCCCTCCCTCCCTAACTTCCCAAGGGAAGGCTAATCTTCAGAAACACAGAACCTCTGGGGGCCAATAAAACCCAGAGCAGGAGAAGCCAGATTGTTTCATTGTTGCAACCATGAAATAAAGTTTGTTTTTATTGCGTTTCTTTTTCCCTTCAGGAAAGCTCTGGGTTAAGAACCCTGATATGTTGTTCTTGCTCCCCTCGTTCTGGTTTTCCCGCCATTGTTCCAGGGGCCTTTTTAATCACCATGATCTCAGCTGAGGTCAATGCCGCTCTCGTTCCACATCCTCGTGGCCCGCCGCGTGTTGGGATGGCCGCGTGACCACCCTTCCATGTCGCCAGCCACCTCCAGTAGCCCTGAAGCCTGCGTGGGGTGTCAGCGGGACGGCTCAGCCGCTGGGCCAGACTGTCTGCGCGTGGGGGCTCCCAGCCCGGCCACCGGGAGGCCTGTCCTTGCTCGCCTGGCACCCTGCCGTGGAGCTCGGGAGGCCCGGCGCGGGGAGGGCACTCAGGCTCCCACCACCTGCGGTCCCAGAACAGGGACCTGGAGACCAGAGGCAGGAGGGACATGGCAGAGCGGGCTCAGCCTCACGCCGGGCTCGGGCACCAGAGCATCACAGAGGCACCTGTAGTGCTTTTATACACACAGTGGCAGGCAGGCGTGGGCTGCAGTCGGGGCCAGGTGGAGTTCAGGGAGAGGGCAGTTCAGGCAAGGGAAGGGCTGAAGGCTGGGTTGGGGACAACCCTTCCCAGGAGAGCCGGCCCAGCGGCTGCCAGCCGGAGCCTTCTTTGGTGCCTGGGTGAGGCAGGGCCAACCCCTCGCAAGCCCTCACCCCCGTTGCAAGTTGACCTGCAGGGCTGGCTTCCTGCCTCCTGAGGCCTGGGGAGGTTTCCCCGCAGAGGATAATGACGAGAAACGGGGGCCTGGTGGAGTCACTTCTGGGGGCTCAGCTTTGGAATCCCTCTGTCGCCCCAGGGAGCAGAAGTGGGGTCGTTCGAGGGTGCCCAGTTGAGGAGCTTGGACCCCACAAGCAGCCTTCACCCCTCCTCTACCTGCCTGAGGCTCCGTCTGGCTTGAGTGTGTGTCCCGGCCCTCTGGAATTAGCATTTTCACATAGGAATGTACCCTTGTTTTCAGTAGTTACGGTTTCAGCTGTCCCTCTTTTATTAAAAGATGGGGTCCCACTCTCCTGGCCTCAAGTGATCCGCCTGCCTCAGCCTCCCAAAGTGCTCGGATTACAGGCATGAGCCGCTGCACCCGGCCAGCGACCCCTCTTAAAAGGAGCCAGGTGTCCTGCTGTTGCTAGCATGAGATTGTCTTCTAACTCTCAGAGAAGGAGAGGTTCCTGCAGGGCTGGC